AGGAAGCCGGAGTCGTTGCTAAGAGACTGGACGCCGAGCCGGGAGGTGAAGACAGGATCCGTTGGCCCGGCTTAGCGCATGCGTGTTACAGCTACAGCTGACGGGTACGCCCACTGCTTCCGGCCCCGGGGTTCGCTACCCCACAATCCTTAGCTCTTTCCGTCACCACTCGGCTTCCGTCCATTCTTCCGGTGGAGATGGCTGCGGCCGTGGCTGGGTTGCTGCGTGGGGGTTTCCTGCCCCAGGCGGGTAAGGAGTGGCCCAGGTCCTCACGGCGTGTCTTGCCGCCGCTCTCTAGTCCTCATCTGCCCTCCTCTACTACTGATTCTTCTCATAATCTCTGACCCCAGCTAGATCGCTGGCCCCGTGCAGCTCCTTGTGATTCCAGACTCTGGTAATCACAGCAACAGCGTCCAGCTGTTGCCTGTCTCCAGAGTTTATTTTGCCTGGACCACTCCTCGCCCAGACCTTTGCATTATGTCTGCCTCTTAATGTCTCAGCCTAAATGTCACCTCAGGTCTACCCTTGACTCCTTAGCCCCATCGCAATCTGTAATTTTGCATTTAAACTGAACAGTTGCTTGTTTAAACTTAAACTCCGCAAGGGCAGAACCATGTTAATTCAGCATAGCCAGCAGGTGGCATGGTGCTTGATGTTAGTAAGGATGCAATAAATATTTGTTTAATGAATGGATTTGAGCACTCAATATAGACCAGGCACTGTGATAACTATTTTTATATGTGTTAGCTCATTTAAATCTTTTAAATCATTTAAATCTGAAGCACCCTGTGAGAAAGACATTCGCATCTCCTCTTTACAGACGCAGCAACTGAAGTTCAGACCAGTTGGGTGGCCAAGGTCACAGCTAGTAATTGGCGGAAGAGAGATTAAAATCCAGTTTCGGCTTGGCGCGGTGGCTCACGCCTGTAATCCCAGCACTTTGGGAGGTTGAGGCGGAGGGATCACCTGAGGTCAAGAGTTTGAGAACAGCCTGGCCAACATGGCGAAACCCCAACTCTACTAAAAACACAAAAATGAGCCGGGCGTGGTGGCACGTGCCTGTAGTCCCAGCTACTCAGGAGGCTGAGGCATGAGAATCGCTTACACCGGGAGGCAGAGGTTGCAGTGAGCTGAGATCGCCCGTCGCTGCACTCCAGCCTGGGCTACAGAGCGAGACTCCATCTCAAAAAAAAGAAAAAGAAAAAAATCCAGTTTCATTTGATTCCAAAGCCTGCCTGCAGTCTTAACAGTTAGGTTTTGTGGCTGCTGGGCAATAAGACCTCTTACCCCAGCAAATATCCATACTGTCTGACTGTTAGAGCCACCTTCTATCTGGACCCTTTTCTGAGGTCACATCCCAGTCTTGGGAATGGCTGAAAGTGGGAAGTTCTAGTCTTGGCCCTTGTGTTGAGGATGAAAGGGTCACTTTGGCTCAGGGCTTTTGAGTGCCTCACTTGTTTTCTGTGGGGTGCTCTGTAGCATTACCTGTAAACAGGAAGAGAGGAGGAAAGAGAAACTTGTCTGAGAGCTGTGAGAATGGTGTAACATTTTTTTCTGCTCTTCAAATCATAGGAGAGGATGTCAGAACAGTGGTTAGAGCAGTGGTTTTCAAACTTTAGTATGCATCAGCATCACCAGGAGGACTTGTTAAAACACTATTTGTGACCAGCCTTGGTAACATAGTGAAACCTAGTTTCTACAAAACAAAACAAACAAAAAACACTATTTGCTAGGCTCCATCCCAGAGTTGCTGATTCAGTAGGTCTAGACAGGGCATGAGAATTTGTATTTCTTTTTCTTTTTCTTTTTGAGACAGTCTTCCTCTGTCGCCCAGGCCGGAGTGCAGTGGCACAATCTCGGCTCACTGCAATCTCTGCCTCTTGGGTTCAAGCAATTCTCATGGCTCAGCCACCTGAGTAGCTGGGACTACAGGTGTGTGCCACCACACCTGGCTAATTTTTGTAGTTTAGTTAGAGACAGAGTTTCACCATGTTGGCCAGGTTGGTCTTGAATTCCTGACCTCAAGTGAGCTGCCCACCTTGGCCTCCCAAAGTGTTGGGATTACAGGCGTGAGCCACCACACCCAGCAAAATTTCTGTTTCTAACAAGTTCTCAAATGATGCTGATGTTGCTGGTTGGGGTACAGGTGGGACATACCTTGAGAACCACTAGATTAGACCAGGGGTTGGCATATTATGGCAGGGCCAATCACTGTGTTTTATAAAATTCTGTTGGTACATAGCTTCTGCTGTCTGTTTACATATTGTCTGTGACTGCTTTTGGCAGAGTTGAGTGTTAGAGACAGAGTACATGGGCCCCAAACTTAAAATATTTATTATTTGACCATTTTAAGAAAGTTTATTCAACCTTATCTCCTTTTTCTTTCTTTTTCTTTTTCTTTTTTTGTCCGAGACGGAGTCTCACTCTGTGCCCAGGCTGGAGTGCAGTGGCATGATCTCGGCTCACTGCAACCTCTGCCTCCTGGGTTCAAGCGATTCTCCTGCCTCAGCCTCTCAAGTAGCTAGGAT